AGTATTGCCGCACCTTTGCAAGGATACCTAACTTTCTTGCAGCTGCTTTGGAAATTAACCGACCAAAGTTCAGGTTCAAGGAAACCTCAACACCCGCAACTGCAGGTCGGTGTATTCCAATGATACAGATACGGAAGGAGTCATAGTGAGTTTGGTCCTTTTTAGGCTTGTGTTTACTGCATTGGAGAATACACACACATGACGGCTCCGATTTGCAGTGGCCGTACGGTACAAGTATTTGTACTATCATCATCACTAGTACAGCTCTTCACAAGTCCACTGCTGAACATAATCTCAGCAGATATAACAGGACCAGGTGACTCAGGCCCGTGTATTGTGGCATTCCTTGAGGCAGGCCTATATCAAGCAGTATATAAGGTGAGTGTACCATGGAAGGTCACTCTAACAAATAAAAAGTTATCATTCGTTTATTTACTGAATAAATGAAAGTAACAAATATTTAAGTAATACTTTGTTTTATTACGTAACATATAAACCACTTCTTTTTATTGTAGATTTGATCGATCTTTATTAAACTTTAGTGTTAAATGACTGATTTATTATAATGGCCTTCTAAGGAGCCTTGTTCCTAGCAAGGCCATTTGGAAGAGTTCAATGAAACTTAAGTTCAATCAATATTGATTAAATCTGCAATTTAAAAAAGTGGTTTATGGAGTGTGTTTAGTAGTCAAATACAGTAGCTTAATGCTGCTGTGTTTCGTATGGTGAGTGTAGAGAATTGGAGAGCCTTTTTACTGGAATCGAGGCATTAAATCTTGGTATTCAGGGATCACAACGCATTTGCATGGCCATTCACTTACCATCAGGTGTTATTGTGTGCTTGTTTGTCACCCAATGCTATAAAAAAAGATGAGCCGCATGCTTGTTTGCCTATCTTCTATAAAAAATATGTTAATAATATTAAAATTACATAATATTAAACTATTATTTACGGATTTTATCGCGTTTTAAAACGCGATAAAATCTGTAAATAATAGTTTTATTCAATGTGTAGTGTTCGCGTAAATTTAAGAAATCAAAATATGTTAAGGTGATTCCTCGAAAATTTGGTTCTATTTTGCTTATTTTTATAAGTTTTATAGATTATGAACCAAATTTTTGGTAAATGATTTTTGACTACATGACCTTGGATTAGTAGGCGTAGTGTAGGTCGACCCCCCACTAGATGGAGTGACGACCTGGTAAGACATGCAGATGGCTCAGGACCGTGCTTTGTGTGATTGCTTGGGGACGGCCTATGTTCAGCAGTAGACTTGGGAAGGGCTGTAATGATGATGATGATTATGATGATGACCTTGGATTTCAACATGTAATTTTATCGATAGAAAAAACGCTAAGTAGGCTCTTATTAATTGCATTTCTACATGACACCACAATATTTTTACGAAAACGAAAAATAAATAACAATATCTAATATCCCATAAACCAGTTTCTTTTAATCCATAACAAGGTTTGTAAAAAAATGTTTGGCGCTTATTTAGTTTTTTTTTTCGAAGCGTGCGCGGCATAGCTATTTCATAATTTGCGTATTATGAATTATGAAGTCATTGCATCACTTTCATTTTTACAGTCTGTCGTCCCTGGGTTTCACCGATAAAGGGATGAGCCACGCCCCCAAAACTACGATCTATAGACTGTGTGCTCGTTTGCCCACCCTTGCTTGCTTACCACACCTTATTCTATAAAAAAGATCCTATAATTTCCCGGGAGAACAATATTGACATCACAAATGGAAATACTTTAAATTAACCATAATAACAGAGAAACATAGAAATTTATGTTATGTAATAGTTTAATACATTTTCATATAGATTTTAAACAGAAAAAACCAACACATTTTATTATAATCTGGACATATAATAAATCTGTAGAAAAACTACTGAGCGGATTTCTATGGCCATCCAATTTTGTATGTAGGAAGTAAATGACCGTGTACACCATATAGGCAAGAAAGAGTAAAAAAGTGTTATGCTTTTACTTTTTTAGTTGTCATTATGGTTTCTCATGGTTCTATTTGTCCTAAAAAGAATTTAGCTGTGTGTGGAAACGAAATCCATCGCGCAAATGACCAGAAAGAGCTGAACAACGTGACGTCAGCTAGCATTTTAATATAATAATTACCAGTTATATTATATTATTTAATTTAAAAAACATTTGCCTATCCCGACTTCCCCATAAGCTTTAGTTTTAATTAAAAATTATGTAAGTTTTTGTATTTAAAATTATGTATGTTGTAAATTATAATATTGTATAAGACTCAATTGTTGTTCTCTTTATTGTAATTTAAATTTTACTTAGGTATTTGACCGTAAAAAAAATTCTCATTTATATAAATTTAAAAACCCTTCCTTTTTAAATTTTAATCAAATTTAAAAAGGAAGGGTTCACAATTTGAGTGAATGTTTTATTTTATTTATGTATGTAACGCGATATCTTCGCAGATTGTGAATTTAATGATTTTTTCTCTTTTTATTGAAATGGTATTTACCTAAAGGCTGGTCCAATTAATTTTAGAAAAAAAAATCCGCCCCCAAGCGTGGAAAATAAGGGAAAAAGTTTCGTATTAGACTATTGCTTAAAGAATGGTATACGATATCTTCGCAGTAAAGAACTGATTTTTAAGAATTCTTTTTCTTAAATATCTTATAATTCAAGGGTTGAAAATAATTAATAGTTACAAGCCAGTGCTTATATATGGTTATATCTGGTGGTAAGTGGTGATGTAGCCGAAGATATTTAACGCTCCAACTTAGCTTAAAAAAACCTATTCAGAGATGGAAAGATGGAAGTTGGTAAGAAATTTTTCCACTCCTTTGCTGAATGCAGTAGCGTAGCACGGGATGCTATCGCCAGATGCCGCTCGAGCTAAGAATACACCCCTTAACCCCTTCTCCATTTTGGAAGTAGGTATCTCAAAAAAAGGAAAATTAGTAAAGATTTATTTCGCTTACTAAATTCCACAGCTGAACACAGGCCTAAAACATAGACGGTTGTCATAGGGGGAATGAATAATGGTTTTTCGTTTGTCATTCGTATTCTATAAAAAAAATCCACATCAAACTGTAATTCATGGTAGAACCATGCTGTAGCTATATTGTGGTTGCAGGACGAACGGGTCGGCTCAGGACCACGCTCTCACAGAATACCAGCTTAATTCTGCTGTGTTTCGTATGAGTGTAGAGAACCGGAGACCCTTTTTACTGGTAATGCGGCATTCCATCTCAGTCCTCAGGGGCAACGCATCTGCATTTTGATTCTTGATTGAAGATAAATGTAGATGTCTATGGGCCACAGCATCCACTTACCATTATGTGGACTGTGTGCTCGTTTGTCACCCTTATTCTATAAAAAAAGTTGCCACGTTTGGCAAGCGGGTTGGCAACCACAGTGTTTTATTTTCAGTCGTATTAGGAAGACGCCGCTGCCCATCTCCTGATTTGATTCCCTCTGTCGCCTATTACGACACCCACGGGATTGATGAATAGATAAAACTATTTTTTGTCTGACTGAAGACGCCCACATTGTAATCGGAGGGAAACACGTTAATCACAGATGTTGGCAAATGCTACCAGTTTCTCGACTCCACCGAGTCAGTAATTCATTCTTGGGGCAATGTATACGCTATTACAACAAAGTTCCAGAAAATATACAAGGCCCCTCTATTACCAAGTTTAAATATTTAATTAAACAAAAACAGTATAAAAAGGGTTATTATTATATAAATGAATACCTGGTTGATAATAACCCCTGGGAATGAGGTGGTCGCTTCCAAGCTATTTCTAAAATAAATTTTGTAAATATTTTTGACCCTTGACATTGTATTAACAAAAAAGTCCCGCTGGGTTTCTTGCTGGTTCTTTTTTTTGGACAGAGGTTTTTTTGACTTTCAATAAGAATTACTTGTAATCTCCTTTGCTGCATAACGAGCAACGAAGCAAACTGTCTAGTTCGAACGCGTGGCATCTCGGAGGAAAGAAAAAGGTGTGATGACTAGCCTAGTGTCTGGTAGTCCGATTCCTGGGCACTCTTTAAAATGTATCCTGAAAAACACAGAAAGGCTAGTTTGCGCTTGTGCTCGAGACTGGTAAATTTGGTTATAACCATATTGACATCACCAACAGGCCTCTTCACACACCTTTCCATTAAGTCTAAAACCGCTAGATTTCATTTAGCAGCACCAGCCTGTATCCCAACAAATACTTCATGCATAACGGGACTAGCCCTTCATACAAATACTGTAGCTTACACGTAGTACCAGCACGGTACAGCTATATTGTTGTTGTAGCATGAATGGGTCGGCTCGATCGGTGAAGGATCAAGTCTTCACAGAATACCAGCGTAAAATAACAGCTTAAAGTTGTGCTGTGTTTCGTATGGTGTGTGTAGAGAACCGGAAACACTTTTTACTGGAAACGAGGCATTCCATCTTTGTATTCAGGGGTGACAACGCATCTGCATTTTGATTCTTAATTGAGGATAAATGTAAAGATACCTACGGGACACAGCATCTACTTACCATCAGGTGGACTGTGTGCTCATTTCTCATCCTTATTAAAAAAAAGCAACTGCCCCGGTGTAAATTATTGCGGCACCTTTACAAGGATACCTAACACTCTTGCAGCTGCTTTGAAAATTATCCGCCCAAAGTTCAGGTTCAAGGAAACCTCAACCCCCGCAACTGAAGGTGGCCGGTGTATTTCAATATCAGTATCATACAGAAGGAGTCAAAGTGGGTTTGGTTATTTTTAGGCTTGTGTTTATTGCGATCGAGAATACACACACATGACGGCTCCATATTGCAGTGGCCACGAGTTCCTAATGCCGTACGGAATAAGTATTTGTATCAACGTCATCATCATTGAAGCTCTTCACAAATCCACTGCTGTGCTCGTCTGTCATCCTTATTTATAATGAAAAAAAAAATTAATAAATGTAGCCAGCCGAACTAAAAATGGGTTTATTAGGAACCTTAAAAAAATTTATAAGAGCAGAGTATCGTATATATCCTCTCGGTATCCGTCATATTCTGAAGAAGATTCTAGAACGTATATTCTACTATTTCCCGTGCGAAGAGTCCGTTTTGATTGTGTGTTATTTTCATTTAAAGCTACGTCGGTCTTTTTTACCGAAGCTCTGTCGTCCGTTTCATTTCTTGATATATCCGTTTTTCTTGTGTCCTCTGAAGATTCAGTTATATTTTTATCATTGGAAGCATTGATAGGCATTGAAGTACTGTTATTTCCTCTAACACTTTTGTAATGAACCTCATGTGAGCTTTTACTAGGTACTGCACGTGAGCTCCCATTGTTATTATCTTCATCTCCTTCTGTTGAATCTGAATTGATTTTTTTATCTCTTTCTGGTTTAGTTTTAGTTGCATTCTTACCGACACTCTTCCTTTTCAAACTTTGTGATTCACTTGAGGAAGACATATTTTCGTCCTTATTATCTTTATTTTCAACTGTCCTTAGTTTCTTCTTTTTCATTCCTTTCTTGTTGTTTGACTTATTCGTTACAGTTTTTTCTTTGTTTTTGATTTCTTTAGAATATTTTTGTTCAGTTTCACTTCCGTAAGATTTCTTTTTGAAAAAATGTTTATATTTTAAACTTAAATTACCAAAAGGTGATGGTTCATGAGTAACTAACGCTATCATGTTACCTTTAGGTTTTGATGTTACAATATCGTCTTCAATTGAATCGTTTTTCTCTTCAAAAATACGAGATATTAAACTGTCCTTCGCTTTTTTCTTGTTACTTAAGTTGAAGTATTGCAAATTTTTGATTTTGTCAACTGCTTTCTCAGCGATTTTGTTGGCGAGTTCATCGAATTTGTCGGATTGGAGTAATTTGTCAATGAATTCATCGATGTTTGTCTTACCGCTGAGTATTCGTTGAGGAAAGAAGACACTCAAGGTACCTAAAAAAATATCTTCATATAATGCTAAGACCAACAAAGAAAGTGGTAGAGCCATGCTGTAGCTATATTATGGTAGCACAAATGAGTCGGCTCGACCGGGGAAGGACCACGCTCTCGCAGAATATAAGCGTGAAATAGCAGGTTAATACTGCTGTGTTTCGTATGGTGAGTATAGAGAACCTACCTACTACCTTCTACCGGAAACGAGGCATTACATCTAAATAAGTCCACAGGTGACAAGCATCTGTAAATTGATTCTTAATCGAGGATAGATCACAGCACCTATTTTCCATCAGGTAGACTGTGTGTTCGTTTGTCACACTTATTATAATACATACAAAAACACTCACGCCTGACACCCAGAGGGGTAGGCAGAGACTACGGACTTCCATTTGACACGATCCTGACATACCTCTTTCACCTCCTTTACACCCATATATCTACGCATAGGACATGCTCGTAAGTTAAGGGTACTTCTAATGTAGCTCATTTTCAAAATATCGCCAATTTGGTCGATAAATATTCGTCTCGGGCGTCCCTTCCCTACTCTGCCGTTCACATCTGCCATATAAATTTGCTTTGTCACTCTTTCCTCATTCATTCTTTCTACATGACCAAACCACCAATCACACTTATCCTATAAAAAATGTTTCCTGGACTAGAATTGAACTGCGGTGATTTAAATCTTAATAAGTACTTCATTATCATCATCCTTACAGCCCATTACAAGCCATCTGCTGAACACAGATCCCCAACGAACGCTACAAAGCACGGCCGTGAACCAACTGCCTGTATCTATTAGAGATAGAAGAAGTTGGTGGATGGCCGTCACTCCATGTGGTGAAGGAGTCCAGATCGGAAGACCAAAAAAATCCGGACGAAATCGAATTTGAAAATATCGGGAATTTCGGGTTGTTGTAGGAAGAATGAAATTTTTATTTTTTTAAATGAATTGATTACAAAAAAAAACTTAACATTGTTGACACATAACTAATTTAAGTACACTTAATTTTTAGTTGCCACATGTACTTCAGTGAGTCCACTAGTTGGGATCCCTTACTAGTATTCAGTAGACTTAACAAACAATATACTTCAAAGTTCAGTCCAATTACAAACTCAGCTTTTATTAATTCAAAAGCAGCTGTGATGTGAAGAGAAGCTGTTTGTCTGGAGATTTTGAGTTTTGTCTGGAGTCTGAAGATCATTAAATCCAGACAAATCCCGACCATCTGGCAACCCTAAGTGAAGGCCACTCTACATATCACTTACCAGCACGATATCTCTATACTTTCCCTATATAAAAAAGTACTCCGTGTCTATACTCCATGAGTACGAGGCTGCCAGAGCCATTTTTCTCCATTGGTTATTAGTTTTTCGAGCTATATGTTCAGCACATTACCATCACGACAGTATATATTAGTGTCAAGCAACAAAGAGTAGTCTAATTAAGCTTAAATAAATTAACTTCATTGATACTTTTCTCACATTACGAGCTTACTGACGTTATGTCGGTCACTCTGGTTCTACTGTGGATGTTCTTATTATGAAGTATTAGTACTCACATAAAAAATATGAAAACAAATATTTCATTTTGAATTTATTTGTTATGTTTCAATATCCACAACGTCTTTTATACTGAAATAAAACATCATTGTTTTAAACCAATTGCATTATTATTATTGTGGTACGATAATTTTTATTACTTTAGTTATAGCAAATATTTATATTGGGTAAAGCTTGTGTATAGACGGAGAGCTGCGTATATTTAAATTGACGATACCACGGTAATATTATCTATACAGTATTGTAACTCGGCCGTATCTTTGAAATAAATGCCTACAACTGCGCGGTACGTAAATACGCAATAGGGCTGCCTGCCTCCAGCATTAATTACATTTGCCTACTTAGTGTTTCCATTTAGTTTTATGATTGTAAATATACTTTTTTTTATATAATCAAATATAATAGGTACTTTGTAAATTGAGTAGGAAGTGTTCAATAAAAATGCGTGTCGTTTTTTGATTGGTAGATTTAATTATAAAACCATGTTTATGTTTGAATAACAAATCGGTCTTATGAATTTGCGACCGAAAAATATTTGCGCCTCGGCTGAGACGTACGAATTATTTTATTATTAAATTTTTAAGTATAAAAAATCCGCATTATAATATAAAGCTTAATTAAAAATTATTTTGGGAAACATGGACAAGGTGGAGAAAAAGTAATATCATTTACTTGGATAAAGAGGTATCTATAACCAAGTAAAAGATATTTTATAATTTATATGTTTGGTTTTAAATGAAGTTCGGATTTATTATTTCTTTATTTCCATTTTATTATTTATTTCCTCCATTTTTTTATATATATTCCACAAAATCATCACTGCGGCACAGTCAAGACTGTCTGCATGCCGAGCGCATGCCGAGATCGAGGCGCGTAGGTATAGCTCTCGCTTCGTCCGTTGTGTTGTGTATGAAGTTGGAATACTGTATATAAAATTACCGTGACGATACTCAACTTACTGTGAAAACAAGTAACTCATGCGTACATATTATGCATCTAGAATATTTTTACCGTGTATTGGCGTTGTAAGAACATCCAGCATATCGTCCCGTTGGTGTCGTAAGGGGCTTCAGAGGGAGGACAAATCAAGAGACGGACAGCAGTGTCTTCCTAATAACGACTAAAGATAAAAATTGCCGTTGCCAACCCGCTTGCCAACCATGGCAACCACAGAAATCGTAATAATAAGACAATAGAAGTCGCATAGACGCGTGACCTTGTCGCCGCTATCATGTGTTGACGAACATGATTCACCATTTTGTGATTTAGTTGCGCGGGGAACGTCGTATGTGAATTTACGTTATTATAATGGTGAACTACAGCATTATAGAAAAAAAAAGTTGTAAAAACTCATTGAGGACGTGTAATTTAACTAATAAAGACATAAAATTTCATCAGTAAGTTGACTATTTAGTAATTATCATTGTTTTAACTAATTTACATCTAGAATCTAGATGAATACTTTACTATGATATTTACCTTTGAAAATTTTCATTTATTACCTTTTGTATTGACAATTACCATTGCTGCTTTTGTTCTACCGTAATACGCAATTTACGCAACGTTGACAAATTCGCCAAGCAATGTAATGTGAAACATCAGTATCATTTTTTTTTTCTTTTTATTTGTGCATTGCATATGTTTATAATACGGCTGCAGGTGGCGACATCGGTTCTGGAAGTAATCGAGCGCTAATTCATTTCTATTCTCTTATTAGGTATATTTCTGTGGTGGCAACTATGGCAATCTATGGGGCAATCTTATAACACTTTTTATGGCGTTACTCACCGGCTACGGTCATCGGAGAGTTAAGAGACTCGAGTATCAAAATAAAAGTATCCCAAGGTGCCTGCGGTTGGATGATTAGTAAATGAAAATTCATAGATACATATAGAGACAAAAGGTAGTTTATTTCCTTCTAAAGTTCATACGGATAGCTCCAAACATCAAGTTGTCACTTTAAAATACCCTGGGAACTGAGGTTTTGACTAACCTGGTGGATTACAGAATATTACACTGTTTATGGTCAATCCCGCGAAGCAGTGAGGTAACAGATGTCCTCCAGGTGTACTCCGGTCGCGGTCTCCAGGCCGCCCAGTCCCAATATAGCCACCAGTTGAAGCTGCCTCACCTCGTTCACATAGTTAAACTTGATAATGGACTATACTCAAAGTAAGGAAATTTATGGGATGATGTGTTTCAACAAACTAATTGTAGACATTGTGTTTAAGGGGCCGTACGCCCAAGTACTCGTCACTTTAAATTCATGTTCCGGCGTTTCGATTCAAAAATTATATATGTGCGTGTCCGATCATTACAACGACTCGCTCCCAAAAAAAAAACTAGGCCTCCCTTGGGCTACGCGCCACCGTCGATCCGTGGTAGGATTTCGAACTAACACGAAAGGTCAATTGCATGCAATTAGCTAGCTCGATTCGTCAATATACGTTTCTAGTTACTTCGGACTAATGACGTTAGATGGCGCACTGATGTCCGTTCATCGAATGTAATAACATAAATATGCTGAAATAAAGTACACGAAAATTTTCGTATTACAACAATCTATGGGGCAATGTATGAAGGGAGGCCTGTTCATTAGTGGACTTTAATGGGATGTAATCGATGGATGTACAGAAGATAATCTACCAGGAGCACATGACCCACTGAGAGGTGAAATTGTTAAATCAACAGTAACAATAAAACTATGTAGAAGATAATATACCAGGAGCACATGACCCACTGAGTGGTGAAATTATTAAATCAACAGTAACATTACAACTACTTGTAGAAGATAATCTACCAGGAGCACATGACCCACTGAGAGGTGAAATTATTAAATCAACAGTAACATTACAACTATCTAGAAGATAATCTACCAGAAGCACATAACCCACTGAGTGGTGAAATTATTAAATCAACAGTAACATTACAACTATGTAGAAGATAATCTACCAGGAGCACATGACCCACTGAGAGGTGAAATTATTAAATCAACAGTAACATTACAACTACTGTGTAGAAGATAATCTACCAGGAGCACATGACCCACTGAGAGGTGAAATTATTAAATCAACAGTAACATTACATACAACTTACATCTATTGCAAATATCCACCCTGTGAGGCAATTTATGGGGGAGGCCCATGTTTGTCATTTACTGGGCCATGTTTGTCATCTATTTGGACTTTAATGGGATGCAATGGATGGATGTATAGAAGATAACTTGGGAAGGAAACTTCCCGAGAAAAATATTTTTAATATTTTTAATACCAAGCAAAGCTGCAGTTTTTTAACCGACTCTCTTTTTAACTAATATGTACTTTTGTGACAATGACAAACACGAGTATATTATATTCTAGTGATCCAGGCAGTCGATGTTCTGCTCTCTCCGACGACCCCTTGTCCTATTAAAAAAAACTTAAATTGGCAATAAAAAATATTGAGGGTCGCATATCGGGATAAAAACTGTCCTATCTCTGAAGTTGGACCAAACTGTACACAGCGTGATAAATTTCATTAAAATTAGTTCATTAGTTTAGGAGTTTATCGCGGACTAACAATGTGAGTCGTAATTTTTATATAAAAAGATAATAAAAAATAGGTATAGGAGCCATATTATACGAAATACCATTTTTTTATTTTCGCCTATTTCTCGTAAAATATCAGAGGTAAGAAGGCAATTTTACCTGACATTATATTAGATTTAATGCATATTTCAAAACTTTTTTTAATATAGCATTGTGTGACAAACGAGCACACAGTCCACCTGATGGTAAGTGGATGCTGTGGCTCAAATCCTCAATTAAGAATAAAAATGCAAATGCGTTGTCACCCCTGAGGACTAAGCTGGAATGTCTCGATTCCAGTAAAAAGGATCTCCGGTTCTCTACACTCACCATGCGAAACACAGCAGCATTAAGCTGCTATTTTACGCTGGTATTCTGTGAGAGCGTGGCCCTGCCCCGGTCGAGCCGACCCATTCGTGCTACAACAATCATATTGTATAATAAATAATACTTTTTCTATGCAAGCATGAAAGTATCCTATTAAATATTTGTTGTTAGCTTGAGATATGGCTCATTTTCGGCAACTCCATTTTTGAGCTTTTAAATGCAATTAAAATACTTTTATAACAATCCGCCCACAAATCTAACGTGGTATAACCACCCTTTAGCTATATAAACGTGGTAGGGCCACGCTGCAGCTATAATATAGTTGCAATACGAATGGGTCGACTCGACCGGGGTAAAATCACGCTCTCAGAATACCAGCGTAAAACAGCAGAGTAGTGCTGTGTTTCGTTTGGTTAGTGTAGAAAGCGGAGACCATTTTTACATTGCATTTTTACTGGTAATTTGATGGCATTCCATCTTAGACCTCAGGGGTGACAACACATCTGCATATGTATTACTTTATTTTATACTTAACTTCTCATCTGAATTTTGATTATTTAACCGAGGTATGCTCGCCTTATTCTATAAAAATATCTTAAGAATAATTAGTATTATATTAGAATAATATAATTAATATATATAATAAATACAATACATTGTAAATAATATACTCAATAAATATAATTAATATTAGAATAATAAGCCATTTTTTTATTCAAGTAACAGTGTTTCCATAATTGGCGATTTTTTGTAAGCTTTCCCAAATGACATGCAAACATATTTGTTGTTTTTTTTTCTTAATTTCCTCTTTCAAAACTGAAACTGAAAATTTTTTGCCTTTTTTACTTACAACATTAGATTGATTGTGATGTTGGTTGGACTTTCGTCGAAAGTGCATGAAATCGCATCAAATTGATACTATTTTTATATACTACCTACCCCACAAATTTAAATAGGCACTAGGCAGCCCTTTGAAAAGAATTTAATTATACCTACATTATAGCACGAATATTAATAAGCATACAAGACATTTAAATGTCAGTTTCTTGTTATTGCTTATTGGTGAGCTTGTTAAATTTAAACTGATTTAGAATGTCCGTTCCAGCTTTAAGGCAGCCAAAAAAATCAAGAAAGACAACGCCACTGAAGAAGTCAATACCATGTAGGAAACCTGAGGAGGAATACGTTATTTTAACTTTAAAAGGTGATAAAAAACTTGTCGTTACTTCTGACGGTTATCATGGCATAATAAAAATGGAGGGAATGTATTTATGTGTACTCTGCGGGACAGAGCTCGATTTAGATGATAAATGTAAAGCAGAACACAAGAATCTCCAGTCTCATTTGAAAACTTTTGCGTTGTTTCCGCATTTGGAAGGCTTTGTTGAAAATCTTATAAGGCAGGTATGTATACCTAACAACTTTATTAAATGTTTGCGATTTACTTATACCTACCAAGGTTGTGTATATTTAAAATGACGCCGAAGCCATATTCAACTTACTGCGAAAACATCTATAACTTCATCGAGAACACGAACTCAAGCACATACCACATACATATTATGATACACACATATTATGATATGCATCTATGTAAATAGTTTTTATAAAACAAGTGACAAAAGAACTTATGCAGCCAACTTTAAATCAAAGGCTGCAGATACGTGACGTGGTCACTTCTGAGTATTAAAATGGAATGATATAATGATGAATAAATAGTTTTTCTAAAATAAGTGACAAAAGAATCATGATATGCATCTATATAAATAGTTTTTATAAAACAAGTGACAAAAGAACTTATGCATGCAGCCAGCAAACTTCAAATCAAACAATGGCTGCAGATACGTGGGGTCACTTCTGAGTATTAAAATGGATGCCTCACAGCCTGTAAACTACAAAGTTGTAATTAAGCTTTCTATGCCCTTCAGCATAGATAATATACCATATGCCCTTCAGACTGGATGGCAGAAATAGGTAAGAGCCTTCCCAGTACTAGTAATCTTTTGTAATTAGTAATTTTTTCTAGTATTTTAGTTAGCATTTGCAACCAACAACATGGTTTCGAGGAAAGACCACGCTCTCACAGAATACCAGTGTAAAATAGCAGCTTAATGCCGCTATGTTTAGTATTGTGATTTTAGAAAACCAGAGACACTTTTTACTGGAAACGAGGCATTCCACCTTAGTTCTCAGGGGTGACAACAGCGTTTTGATTCTTAATCGAGGATAAATGTAGATGTCTATGAGCCACAGCATCCACTTACCATCAGGTGGACTCTGTGCTCGTTTGTCACCCTTATTCTATAAAAAATGCTTTACATTAATGGAAAACATTGTGAGGAAAGCTACATGTCTTAGAAATTAATAAAAAATATATTTCAAAGACATGTGAAGTCTATCAGATTTTTCTAGCACTAAATTCTTCTCGAAAATGATATGAGGCCTGTGCCCAGCAGTGGAATACAGTAGGCTGAAAATTTAAGAGAATCCACCCATCTTTCTGTTAAAATAATAAAAAAACTGTAGCTGAAATAATGAAAAACCCATGTTTATTTTTCCAGTTAAATAAAAATTCATGCTACTGCACAATATGCAACGTGATGGTGTCAACAAACTTCTTGATGCGACATGTTGAAGGAGAGGCTCACAAGCAAGAATTAGAAAGAGCTGTTACCAGATCTACTGTTTACAAACCAAAATGAGAAATAAATCATTTAAAATACATTTATTTCTTTCTCTTTTCTGACCATTTCACACACAAACAATCTGGGTGCAATCTTGCATTCAATTAATATATATGATTTCCTCATGTTTTCTTCACAGCCTCATACTATATTAATAATATAATAACACATGTGAGGCTGTGAAGAAAACCTGAGGAAATCTTATGTCTAAAGAAAAATATTTTGAGGATTTGAATTCTGCACATACGCTACTACACTAAACCATGTAGTGGCTATGTAAGAATATCTACTACCCCTTATCGTTCTGTAGAACAGAAGATGGGAAGCAGCATCATCTGATGATAACTCAAAATAATAAAACACTGCAGTCGCCATTCTATCTGCCAAGCGTGGTAACTATGGCAAATCCTCTTGATGAAGCAATCTACAAGAGAGGCCGATGTTTTTTATACA